GGGCCCCGGGCCCCGGCGCCGCGGCCCTCCCTGCCTTTCCGAGCGCCCCGCAGGCCCCGGGCGCGGAGGGGGCTTCGCCTGCGGCCGGGCGCCGAGATGCCGCCGGGGAGGCGCGCTGGGGAGGCCCGGGTCGGTGCGGGGCAGGCGGCCCGCGGAGGTCCCTGCAGGCGCTTTGGCCCGCAGGTCCCATTCGCCGAGCCAGCGTAGTCCGGGCGAATTGTGGATGATGGGAGCGGCAGGCCGAAGGTCCCGAGGGGCACAAACGGCTCGCCCTGGCGAGGGGAAGGCCAAAGAGATCCGGCCAGGAAGCATCCCGCCCATGGTCGCGCGTTTGCCCCTTGCTTGGTTTTCGTTGCACATCACGACTGGATTTATTTCTTTATCGGGTAAAGGAGCATTTGTGGGGCCCGGTTTTGTATATTGCCCTTTGGATGAAAGGCCACTTGAAAATAATGCCGCCATCGTGCTAATAATACTGCTGCTTTTGAAACGAATGAGTTACCCAGCACATAGGAGCCTGCGGGAATGGGGCAGGCTGTAAATGTTAAGATAAATAAGATAAAAAGAATGTTAGAAATACGCTTCTGAAAAGAGGAAGGAGCTGGCTTTTCAGACTGTGCCATTCTAACCTCCGCGCCACATCCTGCACTTGCTCCACAATCCCGTGAGACTGAACAATTCCGCAGAGTTGCACATGTGATAGTGGCCCGAATATCCATTCGCCCCCGAGCAAAAAAGTGGAGTTGCCACCTAAAGATAATTTTATTTCCATAATGACAGCCAATGATTTCCAATAATGGTGGTGGACCAATGATTAAACTAACTTTAGTAATAAACATCCTTCCCAAAAGGATGGACCCAATGAATCACTTCCACCAAATTCACCCTGCTTTTCACCAGGGGTAGTAACTAAGCAAGAAAATGGAGGTTCACGTCATATTTTCAGCTACTGGAAACACCTCTTTTTGCTGGAAGGCTTTGGGATTCTCACACACCACAGGAGCCTTTGATACTGAGAGCAAGAGAAGAAATGAAAGGCCTTTTTTTTGGCCAGGGCACTCTCCTGATGAGAGGAAACCTATTAGGATCCAATTATTTTTCTGGTTTTGCCCCTTATATAATAAACCCGTTGGTGCTGCCATTCTGTGTTGAGGGCCTCTTGTTTAATTCTGTCCACTGGAAGAGTTCCCATCACATCTCAGGAGGCAGAACATGTCAAGAGCAGTGTGAACCAAGCACTGTTTCTTCTTGCCCGAAAGCTATTATGTCCCCGCAAGCTGAGTTTTGGATATGAGGTGTGTAATAGGGACAGTGTGAAGTTTTCCTTTTAGGCCTGAAGCCGCACTGTGCTTTTTTCTTTGCTTTCTTCCCTCTGTCCACCAAAGTACTGTGGCCCCCGAGAGCTTCCATGAAACTGAATTTGGCACTTGGGGTGGAAGAGGCTCAGCACCCCAGTGCACAAGGTAGATCTCCTGGTGGATTTAGAAGGGGGCCTGGGTGTGGTGGAGCTGTAGGACTTCTGTCTGTCTAAACTTCCTTGGATTCTGCACTTGGCAGCCTGTGATCAGTGAAGAACAACCATGTCGAAAAGTTCTCTGCACACTTCACCAGGCTGATCTGTAGACCAGTTTTGCGTGCCAAAACCGAGGGGACTTGATTCTTGGGGTTGCCAACATAAGCTTGCTGTGAGTTAAAACAAGCAAAAACCTCACATGGCTGTACTTTTTGTATATATGAGCATCCTTCAAGCAAGAACACCAGGAAGGAAAGGTTAGCCTGGCCTCAGGAGCACTGAAATGCTGCTTATTGTTAACCTCCTTCTCCTTCTCTTGAAAAACTGGCCCTCCTCCCCGAGTCTCTGCTGGGCTTCCATTCCTCATCTTGTCAGTTTGCTTTCCAAGCCTGACAGCAACAGAGCCTCCTCCATCCTGCCTTTCTTTATGCTGACCGTTTTGGGAGGCAGTAACTGTCTGAAAAGGAGAATAAAAATGCAGCAAATAAATACTTTCCCCTCCCTCAACTTTAAATGGAGACTTCATTAGCTGCCTGGCTGGTCCTGCCAGCTAGTTTAGGGTTGTGTGTCATTCTAGCAGAGAGCAAAGGCCATCTGGCAAGCCCGAAATTTGCCCCTCCCTGTGTCCTTAGACAGGGGTTCCTGTCCCTGTTAAGTGGCTAAAGCTCCCTTGGGTCAGTCATGGTGCCTTGGCCTAACCTACCTCACAGGGTTTTTGGGAAGATGAAGTGAGATAACTTCTGTATGGCTCCTTGGCTCCCATATAGATAGCTCCCTCACTTTTAATGGGGCCTGTGGTATAGAAGAACTTTCTAGTGGAGCGTGTGCAAAGGGTTCCTGCAACCTTTGAAAAGGGATGGGGTACAGAGCATCTGAACTGGTCTCTTGGGGGATCTTCACAAGTTCCCACATTTGGATTTATTTGCCAGAAAAGAGCCCTCGTGGGCTGCAGTGCTGTGACGCTCCTGGACAACGTTGAATTTATTTATTTAAGCATTTTTATGCCACCCCCTTTGCAACAAGCCTCAGGAGAAGTTTTCCTGTATAAATTGGGCTAATTTGCAAAGGGTGATTTTTGTGCTGACATTTTCCTGGTTTGTGTTGGGAAATGTTTCACTGTCCTAGAAAATGTTCTAATTTAGTAGGTTTTTTGCTTGTGTTCAGTAAACAACAAAGTATTTCATGTTATTATTTTTGTTCCAATACACTGCAGGTATTTGACCCGAAATAAGCCCGGGGCTGGGGGGATGGTAAAGCGAGCTTGATCTGCAGTTTCAACAGAAGAAAGCCTGTACCTTCCAGCATGCCCTGCCAGCCTCTTTTCAGTCCGACACCGGCTCAGGTGGGGTGGGGGAGCTTCAGGCCTGTGGCCCAAATCCACTCCTTCCTGGGATCCCAGGTCGGCCCACGAGGGCTCCGCAGGTGGCTTCACCCTCTTGCAACAGTCGCAACTGTTTCCCCCAGCCACTGATCACGTGGTGCTTTTCTCTGGCCTTTACATTTGTGCATGGCTTTGTGCTATTCTCAATGGCCAAAATGCCATTCCATGGTTGCAGGGCTTCCTGCACCAATGCGCCAGTTGGTGGGGGTATTCTGGCCCTGCCCTCTGGGGCTTTGAGGCCTCCCCTTGCTGAGGAGTAGGGCTTCGGGTTCCCTACTCCTGAGCTATGGCAGTCCTCTCCCCAGTTCTGCGCAGGGGCTGCCAGGGCTCTTCTTGGCCAGAGCTGCAAAGCAGCCAAAGTGGCTGGAAGAAACTCCAAGGGCCACCCGGATCCCCAGTCACAAGCCGGAGTCCAGTAGGAGCCGCACAATGGGTTCCAGGGAGTAACAACTGCCTCCCACAGGGCCCCCAGGTCAGGACTCAGCTTTGCAGTTGGATTGGACCCACATGCCAGCGTACGCCAGTCGCAGGAGAACTTTGGTGCTGCTGGTTGTGTCCTCCCGCCCTCCTTGCGAAATTCCGTGGGCACCTGGCTGGATGCACTGTGAACGGGATGCTGCACTTGAGGGATCGCTGGCCTGATCCTGCAGGACTCTTCTGGTGGGGCAGGGGTGCAAGCACTGGCTCAGCACCAGCATGGCTTCTGCTCAGGGCTGGCAGGATCGGCACCCACCATGGTCCAATCTGTTTATTTAGTGCCGGCAGTCGCTCCTCTGTCCACATGATGTCAGGCTTTGAACACCGAAGCCCATCCGCAGCTGCTGAGCAGGAGGGAGCTAGCACAAAAACGGCCTCGGGGGACCGTTATCGTCCAATCCTGTTAGGATCAGTGCAAATGGACGTGGACAACGCTGCGGCTCGTCGGGAAGACGGGAGGCAGCACGAGTCGACAGGCCAGTTCCGCTTCCATATGGAAGCATTTGCAGGCTGCCTGCGGCAGGCCGTTGGATGTTGCAAGGCTGCGGCGGCTGGCCAGGCAGGCGCCGTCTCCGAGAGGGCGGGCGGTGGCAACCTCTGCCGTGCGCGGGCCCGGATGCGCCGCCTTCCGCTGTCCACCAGAGGCCTTGCCCAGGGAGATGCTGGCTTTCTGCATGTGCTGCCCAAGGAGTGGTCTGCTCAGGCAGTTCCAGACGTGGAACGGAGGGGCGATGCAGCCCCACCTCTTCGTTGCTGCAGGTGCCAGTGCAGGAGAGCTCACTTGTCTCCCCGCTGAGGCTCGCCCAGGGGGCACAGCCTCCAGTTCCACCCACCTCTGGGATGAGACCCCCGAGTGTCAGCATCTGGGGTGGGGGTGACTGGGCATCAGCTTGGACCCAGACAACTGGCACGATATACTGGCCCATTCCAAATCATAGGCAGCCCAGAGATCAAGGTGGGTAACAGAAGGGCAAGGCAGGCCAATCCGAATAGAGCAGAGTAGTCTGAATGCCGGTCGAGAGTCGAAGCCAGAGAGACAAGCTGAGGAGAAGCAGATACCTGGAGCTGGAGCAGGTGAAGCCGGGCATGGTCAGAGGCAGAGGCAGGAGCAAGGCGGCGGGCAGGGTCTCCAGAAGCGGGTTCCAGA